CATATCTGGTGTTTTGGGGTATTAGGGGCTTTTAGAAACAATTTCTGATGTATGATGAAAGTGAATTTTCTAAGAGCTTTTATTCCTGGTTGGTTTTGCCAATTAGATACTTGTTTCCTGTTGTGCTAATTTGTATTATGGGAATGTTAGTAATGATCACTACTGTTTTAAGTGCAATGCAAACACAACACGCAGAGAATCCATGCCCAGAGAACCTGTTTTTATTCTGGCCAAAGGGAGAAATCGATACACATTGTCTCACAGACTTTACTAGCTTTACTAAAAATTTTTTAAAAGGCCCTTTTTGTGTATCAGTAGTTTATGGTGTATGCCCCTGTCCTAATTATATTCCCAATTCTTTGCCTAACCTGTCACGAATACAGCCAGTGCATTTCTGAAATAAGGGATTTGGTATCCTGGGCAATTTCCATGAGGAATCCCAGACAGCAGAATTCAAGTGCTTTCCAGACAAGTCTCCTTCACCCTTTGCCACTTGTGAGTGGCCCCATCTTAACCTCCAGACATCATCTAAGTGTTTGAAAGTCATCAAATGGCTGATGAGTAATCACTAGGAAGTTCTCTTCTCCCTTCTCTCTTCTCCCAACATGAAGGATTAAAGTAAAGAAAGCACAGAAAATATCATTACAGCAAGGTAAAAAATATGTCTAGTCCTAAAATGAATATAAAATGCAAGCAGCATGAATTGTGAAAATAACATAGAATCATAGAATAGTTTGGTTGGAAAAAGACCATTATGATCATCTAATCCAACCATAAACCCAGCATTGCCAAGTTCACCACTAAACTACTAAACCATGTCCCTAAGCACCACATCTACATGTCCTTTGAATACCTCCAGGGATGGTGACTCCACCACTTCCCTGGGCAGCCTGTGGATGCTTTAACGTGGAGGCTTTAAAAATTATTTGAAAGAAGGTCTTTAAACATTCAAATCTTAAAATAAAATCCAGGTAAAAGTCTGTATTTGCTTGTCTTTTGATATCAAAAGAGCAGAACTTGATGCCACCCTCTGAATTATCCTGGGATATTCAAAGATGGACCCGGGGTTCCTTACAGAAGTTGCTGTGCTTGAGGACTAGACTGATTGCCCAGCTTGGGGAAACCATGCACAGCCCTGTTCATGGGAGCAATCACGTTACAGGCGAAGAACTGCTTCACCTCTTAAAGCAGAAAGATGTCCAAGAGTGTGAACAGACTTTTCCCTGGACCTAGCTCAGACTGTGGAAACATTTTTAGTTGCTATTAAAAAGCATGAAATTACAGACAACAATTTCAAAATCTTTAGGCAAGAAGAATAATTTGAGTTTAAGGAACTGCTTAACTGGAATTTCATCCAGTCGTGACTGCCTTTTAAGATCGTTGGCAGCAAATGCCCATGAACAGGTTTCATATATTAACTGAGGTAGAATAAATATGCCTTTATTTCCAGCTGCTATTTCAAAGGCTGTGGAAATATCAGAAACAAACTTTAGCCAGCCATGCCTTAATCCCAGCGCTACCAACGTGCTTTCCATCGGGCTGCTACAGGGTGTTGCCTCACGCCATTCTGGAGAGGTGACTTCTTAGCTCCTTGTGCTCTTGAGGTTTGATCTAAGCCATGTTCAAATTAATAGGCTCTCGCTAACTTCACCTGAGTTTGCATCTCACACTTAAAGTCTTGGTTAATTAAAAATAAAAAATTGTGACCAGAAAACCAGGACACAGCCAGGGATGCGTAGGAAACACAACGGAGCCCACATCAGAGAAAATCTTGTAAGAACAGTGGTGTTCGTACCTCAATGGTTCATTCCTGCACGGTAATTACGTGCTGTTTCACATTGTTGTTTTGTGGGGAAAACATGTTCTTGAACGTCAGGAAATAAATGTTCATTTTTAACATGATTTCAGAGAGAGTGTTTTGACTTGAATTGATTTATTTCAGTTACAGTTTTGCTTATTTAGCTAGCCATGATTAAAACCAGTGTTGCCACTAATATAAATGTACAGAAATGGGAATGCCAGCTAGAAATAGAAATTGTCCCTGTGTTTTATACCAGAATAACACCTTTCAACAGCAAACTTCTTCAGATACCACCATTTGAGGTACAGGTAGTCATCACAATGCAGTTGTCTCTGTTATCAAACAATGTGTTTTTAATTGGTATTAAAGATTAAGTCCTGTTCCTAATTACACCAGTGGGCAAAGCTTGACTGCAGATGTCCATGTGCCTGAATTTCTGATCAGAAGAGCAAAGATGATGCTTTTCCAACTCTGCACAGTTACTGGAAACATATCAAAGGGGAAATTGTGATTAGCACGTTGCAAGATGTAATAAATTGTGGGGTATGTGTCTACTTTGCTGCCCCTTCAGTCACTGCTCTCTGTCTCTCTCAAAAGCGGTGTCAAGAGGTGTGTTTTCTCATTCCCAGGCCTGCTCATACCTATCGAGACCTGCCAGTTGTGGGGAACCTTTGTGAAATCTTATGTAATGAGGGCCTGATTCATACCCCCCTGCCATCCCAAGGAAAATCCCCAGTGGCATCATCGGGCTTTGGCACGTGGTCAGAGTCTCAGTGACTTCCTTTATTTCCCTCTTGTACATCAGGGATATTCCTCAGCTGTACCAAGGCAGATGAGAACATAAATCTTGTCCATAACTATCTGGTATGAGTAATTTTTCCTAAAGTAAATAAATCATCCCTATTTCCTCTTACCCACAGCACCTGATGAACTGGTAACTAAAAAACTGAGAAAATGTTGTTTCATTGGTGAGCCAACTTCAGTCATTCTACAAATCTCTATTTTTAATTCCGTGTTAGAAAACAGAACCCACTGAGACTGGCTGGCAGAGCAAATGTGCCCCATTTTTTTTTTCTCCCCCTCTGCCTGGCTTAGTAACATAACTGCCAGTTTCTGTTTTCACCTCTGTAGAATTACATGCCTCTATTTGAAACTTTTGACAAATCGGTCTATTTTCATTCTCCCTCTGCCATAAATTCAATCCATATGTCTTTAAAACATCCTTTCATAGCTTTAACACGGAAAAGGAAGTGGCTTAGGCTCTGTGTAGGAAAGCTATAGTGTATTTAAAGCAAGCTTTTCTAGTTTGCATGCATCACTTCTGTTAGCTCTTAAAGCCTCGACTTCCTAATTATTCAGGTTACAGAGGGCATTGGCAGAGTTTTCTCCATTAACTAACAGTGATGTACAGTGAAGAAGCACAACAGAATAAATCATTCCCTTATCCTCAAAACATCCAGGAAGTTTTTGATGCAGCCTTTGGCTTTTACCACCAAGCAGGATGCAAAAAAGGATGTGAAAAGGGGTAGGAGAGATCAATTCAGCATAAAATTTCAAAAGAAAACATCAAGACAAAGAAACAAAGGTCTAGCACAATGAGCTGCTGTTCAGCTGGCAGGGTTTTGTTTGACAAGAATACACAGCACCTACGTGACAGGAGGTCACTGCAATAGGAGTAAAGTGTCTCCACAGCTAAGACTGAACCAGGGTCAGAAGGTGAGGGTGGGAAGGAAATGTGGGTCTGAGCTGAAATATATTGGTATGGCTGTGCATGGATCAAAGTTGAAAAATACAGGATGCAGCAGGGTAAGAGCACAGGCAGTCATGGCTGTAAGTGTCCTCATCTGAAATCATGGAAGATTTGGTCTAGGGTGTGCTACTGGAATTGCAGGATAGATCTGTAATTAAAAATATGGTAGCAACTGAACGCAGCTGAAACTACAGCAGTGATAAGGGCACAGGAACACTGGCTGTGGGGACTGCAGAAGGCTTCTCAGAGTCCACCTGCACTGTGGATGCAGTGTCACACCGTGTTTCATCAGCTCCATCCCAGGCAGGTCCATTCTCCCGCCTCAGCCGTAAACCCGTGTTCCCCACCTCACATCAGCTTTGGAGGTCACATTCCCACCTTTCCCTCTGTGCCCCACAGAGCAACAACATTCAGCCTGCTTATTTGAAGAAAAACTATTCAACTAATGGATGTCTGGGAGGAAAGCAGGGGAGGCAATATTTTTCTGGATCTCTGTGTTGCACTGACTTGCATTGTGGCTGCAGATCTACCATGCTTGACCAGAGATAATGGGTGAAAGGGATGACTGGGGAGAGGTGAATGATTGTTCCTTTTAGAGACCATCTGAAACTGTGTGTCAGGTTTTTTTTTGGAGCATCCCCAGTTTTCACAACCATTCCCAGTCAATTTACCGAAATGGTTTCTCATTTGCCAATAACACAAATGAGTTGGAGGGATATGTGCAAAGTAGGATGGGATCCCAGTAACAGCTACACAAAACTGCCTGCAAACCCGTCGTTCTGTTCAGTTACTGTGTCTTAACACTCGTGTGTGCAAGGAGAGAAGATGGAAGGAGTGTGCGTGGGGTGAACGCGTGTGCAGTGTAATTATCTTTCTAATCTCTCTTTCTCTCAAAGAGGGGTCATTTATAGAGATGAAAATATAGCCAACCTCAAAACTTGTGGGCGTAGTTTGGCACATCCAAAGGTTTGCACATGTCGAAACCACCGTCTGCGTGCAAGTTCAAAGAATTGGCGTAGCCCAGGGTTTTCTTTCCAGAGCTGCAAAGATCACAGCTACCATTTACCTTAGATGGACTTGAGGTTATCTTCCACATCTCTCAAAATCAGGCCTTTATATCTAGCAATCTGCATACAGCTGTTCAAAACCAAGCTGTCTCTGCACAGCCACGTTGTTGTATAAACAATATTAGCAACTTTCATGTTGTTTTATCTCAACTGCAATTTGTTTCTAGTTTTTAAAGGCTGGTGAAACATCCAACCTCACTCCCTAGAGCCTAGTTTCACTGTTTCAGCCGTTCCAATGGTATCTACAGCCCTGTTGGGTTTTATTTGAACTGTTCAAAACATCTCAAGTCCCTCAAGAAAGGTGCAAACGTGTTGGAAGTTCCCTGTCGCTCCTCTCAGCAGAGAGATTTGGTTTTCCCCTCCTGTCACCTCATTGTAACAGGACTGTTGTTTGCTCTCATCCCCAGGTGTGCTGTCCCTGCCGGCCTCCTTCAGCCCGTACAACGACGGCTCTGTGTGCAGCAATGGACGGGCTGATGCTTACGCCCAGCTGGAACTCCGAACTTTAGAGCAGTCTCTGTTGGCAACTTGCGTTGGAAGCATCTCTGAACTGAGTAAGTTGTGGATGTAATCAAAAGTGGGTTTCTTTCAGCCAAGCAGGAGAGCCGGTCCCTCCGCTGTTGAGGTCAGTGGGAGCGTTGCCGTTGTTGACAGCGTGAGCGGTATTTGGCGAACATAGTGTCAGATTTAATTGTCTTGTGGTGGTGTTTATGAAAATCAAGTTGTTTCATTAGGCTACTTTACATTTAATTCACCTTGGAGATATGTATAAGATGTGGGTTTTCTAGCCTTTTGGTAGTTAGTGGTGTTAGTGCCAACAGAAGATGGATGCTTTTGCCTAGATACCTCTGGAGGCTTTCTTGTACGTTTGTGGAACGCAGCAGTGGCACCTCCCTCAGACGGTCAAGAGGGTTCTCTTTGTTAGTGATTGTGTAGTAGAAATGTTAAGGATGCAGGATAGTCAAGGAAAAGCTTTTTGGTTACCTAAAAAACAAAAAGTAGAGGAAAAAAAAAAAATCTGAGAGCACTTCGGTAACAAAAACTTGTTCAACACCTTCCTTTTTTTAAGGCTAACTAAATGAAATGTTCCATTCCTAGACTACTTATAAAGCCCCTTTAAAGTAAACAAAAATGATTTGTGTTTTCCCGGTGTACTTTTCCCTTGCAACATTTCTGCTGGCATCGCTTTCTTAGTCTCCACCATCTGAATGCTAATGAATGTCAGGGCCAGCAAGGAGTTTGTGGGTTTCACCATTTATTTCACAACCTGCCTTAATTTGAGGTTTTCAGATTCCTTTAACACACCTCTATTTATCCTGGAACACAAGAGAACATTTGTAGCATGGGACTAAGATTGAATACAGCTTCCTCTCTCTCTTCCCCCATCCCAGCTTTGGCCAACTTGGTCATTTCATCTAGTGAATAGATCTCCTGATACACTTGCCTACTTTAAAAAAAAAATTAAAAAAATGTTGCTGCACATTGCCAGAAAAATAAAGAGAGAGAGTGTGCAAAGGAGAAGGAACGTTATTCTGAGATGAAAATTTAAATTCCAGATGCATTTCTGCTATAACTGTGCAGACTTCTATGTTAGTACTAATGCTAGAGGGTTCGTGATGCTCTCATAAAACGTTTAGGTCCTGGAGAGTCACGAGCTACTGAAGTGGAAAGGCAGAGACATTAGAAGGTTTTTCCATTCTGAAGTGGGTCCTTAAACTGAATGCACCAAACGTGTGGCACAGCTTCACATT